ACAGGATGGCAATCCTAGTAGGCAAGCCTCTGGGTAGTGCTTTGTTTTTTGTTTTTTGTTTTTGTTTTTGTTTTTGTGAGTCAGAGTCTCACTCTGTCGCCCAGGCTGGAGTGCAGTGGCACACTCACAGCCACCACAGCCTCGACCTGCTGGGCTCAGGTGATCCTTCCACCTCAGTCTTCCAAGTAGCTGCTGGAACTACAGGTGCACACTGCCACACCCAGCAAATTTTTTGATTTATTGTAGAGATGAGGTCTCACCAAGTTGCCCAGGCTGGTCTCGAACCCCTGGACTCCGGCAATCCTCTCCCCTTGGCCTTCCAAAGTGCTGGGATTACAGGCTTGAGCCATCACGCCCGGCCTTAATTTTTGCTTTATTGTAGAGACGAGGTCTCGACAAGTTGCCCAGACTGGTCTCGAACCCCTGAGCTCAGGCAATCTCTCATCTCGGCCTACCGAAGTGCTGGGATGACAGGTGTGAGCCACCACACCCAGTTGGGCAGTGTTAAAAATAAACGAGATCGAGGGTGACGTTTTACAATTACAGAATAGCCAAGTGGCAGCCGTGAAAATGTGCCCCTTAGAGTTCCGGCTATAGGGAACAGAACTGATCGGACTTCACCCTTGAGGTGCTCCCAACCAATGACAGCACAGTCCAAGTGTTCATTCAGGCCTGTCCCTATGGGACACGGGCTACTCCCGGGGGTGACTTTGGCTTGAGGACTTCCCTGCTGCCGGCTCACCCTTTCTTGGACTGTCTGAGAGTGTTCCTGCTCCCATCTTCCTTTCTTCCCCTCTCTCCTTCACAGTTGTCAAAACATTATGGCCGGGCATGGTAGCTCATGCCTGTCATCCAGCACTTTGGGAGGCTGAGGTGAGTGGATTGCCTGAGCCCGTGAGATTGAGACCAGCCTGGGCAACAGTGAGATCCCAACTCAAAAAAAAAAACAACAAAAAACTTCATACAACTTCATTGTAGCAGCATTCAGGGGTGGCCTGATAGTGGAGATAGAAAACCTTTCTAGTGGGCAGCCTTGTGAGCAGGGTAGCTGGTATCTACAGTGGAAAAAAAAGTGGCCGGAAGCAACAACATATACTGATTCTTCAACAGTAGCCAACAGCCTGGTCGTCTGACCGGAATACGAGGTCTGGGTTGAGCCTAGGGGAACGGACCCAGCGTGTCATTTGTGTCTCACACGTGAATGCCTATGGGAAGCAATCCTCACAGAAAAGGCGCAGAACAACCAAGCAGACAGGAAGAGTCAGTCAGCTGATGTTTTTGGCTTGTTTTTGTTTCTTTGAGTAGGAGTCTCACTCTGTCACCCAGGTTGGAGTGCAGAAGGCATGCTCACAGCCACCGCAGCCTCAACCTACTGGGCTCAGGCCACCCTTCTGTCTCAGCCTTCCAGGTAGTTGGGACTACAGGTGCGCGCCACCATGTCCAGCTAATTTTTTGATTGATTGTGGAGACGGGGTCTCGCCATGTTGCCCAGGCTGGTCGTGGGCTCAGGCAATCCTCTCACCCCGACCTCCCAAATTGCTGGGATGACAGGCGTGAGCCATCACACCCAGCACAGTCAGTTGGTATCATCTGGCTTTCGCCACCAGCCAGCCCAAGGATGGAGGGAAGCTGCAAACAGCCCAGTAGCGTGGACCCCACTCAACCAAAGCCAGTGTAGTCAAGGCTGCCTCTGAATATCCAACCTCCCTGCGGCAGAGGCCAGGGCTGAGTCCGGTTGTGGCACTGCTCCTCAAGGAGAAAAACGGGCCACAGGAGAGCAGGTCGATGACCGTGAGGGGATAGATGTTTAGCTTCTGAGCTCCGTGAAAATGGGTCTGGGTTCTTTAAGTCATATTTTCCCGGGCCGGCGGGCAAGGACGCATTATCCAGAAGGCGGCAGACAGACATCGCAGGACAACAGAGTCGCCTTCCCGACCCTGCAGTGCAGGTTGCTCCATGCCAGGGCCAGCAGCACCAGCTTCCCTGCCAAGAGGCCCTGGGGAGCGAGAGTTTGCAGCAGACGCCCCTGATGAGATGCCTCTCTGTGCAGTTCTCCCGACATGCTAGAGAGTGGGTTTCTAGCGAGTTCCAGCCACAAAGTGCCACAGTGACTTCTCTGCCCTCCACTGAGCCACAGCTGTACTCTCCCTGTTGGATTTGGGTGTCAGCCCCAGGGGCGCTGACATCTGCTATTCTTGTATTCTTTAAAGTTCTCTTTACGTCCTATTAGCCAATCCTTTATTACTCCAATCCGCTGTTATTTATAGTTAATAATTCTTTTTTTTTTTTAGTCAGAGTTTTACTCTGTTGCCCAGGCTGGAGTGCAGTGGCATGCTTAGGTCACCACAGTCTCGATTTGCTGGGCTCAGGTGATACTTCAAATCCTCAGCCTTCCAAGTAGCTGGAACAATAAGCACACACCACCACACCCAACTAATTTTTTTATTTTTGTAGCGACAAGGTCTTGCCAAGTTGTCCAAGCTGGTCCCGAACCCTTGGACTCAGGCAGTCCTCTCACCTCAGCCTCCCAAAGTGCTGGGATTACAGGCATGAGCCACCATGCCCAGCCAATAATTTTTTTTTTTTTGAGTCTCATTCTGTCCCCCACACCGGAGTACTGTGGCACACTCATGGCCATCGCAGCCTTGACTTACTGGGCTCAGGCGATCCTTCTACCTCAGCCTTCCAAGTAGCTAGAACGACAGGCGCACACCACCACACCCAGCTAATTTTTAAAATTTATTGTAGATTTGGGAGGCTGAGGTGAGTGGATTGCCTGAGCCCGCGGGTTCGAGACCTGCCTGGGCGGTGAGACCTCATCTCTACAATAAATCAAAAATTAGCCGGGCGTGGTAGTGGGCACCTGTAGTTCCAGCTATTTGGAAGGCTGAAGCGGAAGGATCGCCGGAGCCCAGCAGGTCGAGGCCCAGCCACTGCACTCCAGTCTGGGCGACAGAGTGAGACTCCAACTCAAAAAAAAAAAAAAAAAAATTTATTGTAGAGACAAGGTCTCACCAAGTTGCCCAGGTTGGTCACGAACCCTGGGCTCAGGCAACAAGGATTTTTATATTAAACTTTCCCTGTTCAAATTGCCGTGTGGTAGCTGTGTCACTCTTGGTAGTGATTAGCATCTATTCCAGGTAAGTTTGCCCTTCCTGCTAGCAGGGACTCATCACTACTCTCAGTGCTTCTAGAGAGCCTAATGCATAGGCGTGGATTCCCAGGAGACACAGCATCCAGCCAGGTGGCCCACCTCCCAGTGAAGGACACACGAAGGTCCCTGATGGTGGACCACACACCGCATCATCCGCAGGCAGCCAGCCTCCCAGAGGGCTCTGCTGCTCTATCTCCATATTAAGTCTGCAAAGTGTGCAGCATGTCTCAATTTGGACCAGCCATACTGAAAGTGTTTTTGTAAGCTCCTATGGCTAGTGGCCATAAGGTATCGTTTTGCTGCAATCTGATGCTTCCTGCCCAGTCCTCTCCTTTTACAAGGGTCAGCTTTGTAGCACAGTCTGAAGGTGACCACTGCTACCTCGGGCTCCTGGCCCTTTTCACCCATGGGCATATTCCCCAATAAATCTCGTGTGTATCTTCTTATGTCTTGGCATCTGCTTCTCAGAGGACCTGAACCAAAAGATCAGTGTGTGCGAGGGACAAGATCCAAAGGGTCATCTTCATCAACAAACTCTTTTGTTATTTACTGTTTTTTTTTTTTGATTCAGAGTCGCACTGTCACCCAGGCTGGAGTGCAATGGCATGCTCACGTCACTGCAGCCTCAACCTGCTGGGCTCAGGTGATCCTTCTGCCTCAGCCTTCCAAGTAGCTGGAAAGACAGGCGTGCGCCACCATGCTCGGCTAATTTTGGGGGGATTTATTGTAGAGATGAGGTCCCATCATGTCACCCAGGCTGATCTTGAACCCATGGGCTCAGGCAATGCTCTCACCTCTGTCTCCCAAAATGCTGGGATTATAGGTGGGAGCCACGGCGCCCAACCCAGTAAATCATATACTTTAAAATGAGTGTTAATGACAAAGAAATGGAAATGGCTACTTCATCTCAGTCACTTGAGAGGTTTAATTAAGACAAAGAATGAACATATTCAATTTGTCGATGGCAGTTCATAAACAAGGGTCTGTCAGACTAGAATAAAGACAGAATACTAAATCATACTATATTTGCATAAATTTAATTTTAATTTGGTGTCTGCATACAAAAGGAGACACATGGAAACAAGGATATAATCTGGATAGGAAATCAAGACACAAATCAGGCATTGCCAAAAAACACCACATATGACTTTATTTTTCTTTGAATTAAAAGAGTTTATATAAATTTCACTTAATGAACAACACAAACTACACACTGAAAATACCATAAGGCTTTACTGATCAAAAATACATGATTTCAGCCGGGCTCAGTAGCTCAGCCTGTAATCCCAGCACTTTGGGAGGCCAAGGCGAGTGGATTGCTTGAGTCCACAGGTTCGAGACCCACCCAGGCAACTTGTTGAGACCTTGTCTCTACAATAAATCAAAAATTAGCTGGGCATGGTAGTGTGCACCTGTAGTTCCAGCTATTTGGAAGGCCGAGGCGGAAGGATCGCTGGAGTCCAGCAGGTCAAGACTGAGGTGGCCGAGAGCGTGCCACTGCACTCCAGTCTGGGCGACAGGGTGAGACTCCAACTCAAAAAAAAAAAAAAGAGTCGGAGCTGGTTTTTTCCATGCAAATTATTAAAAAGTACAGAAGTGCCGGGTATGGTGGCTCATGTCTGTAATCCCAGCACTTTGGGAGACAGAGACAAGAGGATTGCATGAGGTCAGGGGTTTGAGACTAGCCTGAGCAACATGTAAGACCTTGTCTCTACAATAAATCAAAAAATTAGCTGGGCGCAGTGGCATGCACCTGTGGTTCCAGCTACCTGGAAGGCTGAGGTGGAAGGATTGCCTGAGCCCAGCAGGTCAAGTATGTGGCGGTTGTGAGCATGCCACGGCACTCCATCCTGGGCGACAGACTGAGACTCTGACTAAAAAAAAAAAATGTACAGAAGTGCATTCCCAAGACATTAAGGCACTCTGGGACACGGGACGCTGGCCTGTTTCCTCAGCTTAGAGCTTGGCTTTCCGCTTCGCAGACTCTTTCATCCTTTTGACCACAGAAAGGTCCCCTGCTCCCTCGGGCCAGTTGTCATGGTCTGTTAAGTAAGCGGAAAGCCTCTGGTTACTTGCAGATCTGATAACCTCATTTGCCCTCCAAATCGTGCTATTTCCCCTAGTTCACCAATTTTCTCAGCACAATACAAAAAATCCTTAGGACAAATGTTGGAAAAAAAGACTTAGCTTTGAACCCCAGGTCTGCCGTTCACTGGTTTTCCCGAATTTGGGGACATCACTTTTCCTAAGGCTTAGGGTACTCTGCTATTAAAGGATCCAACAACATCTGCCTTTTGAAGTTGTGAAGCTTAAATGTGATACTGTATATACAGTGCTTGGAATACTGTAGACATTCAATGGTGTCTCCTTAAGAAAAAGAATTGTAGCCGGGCTCAGTGGCTCAGCCTGTAATCCTGTGCCTTTGGGAGGCTGAGGTGAGTGGAATGCCTGAGCCTGTGGGTTCGAGTCCCGCCTGGGAAACTTGGCGAGACCTCATCTCTACAATAAATCAAAATGAGCTGGGCGTGGTAGCACGCGCCTGTAATTCCGGCTACTTGGAAGGCTGAGGCGGAAGGATCGCTGGAGCCCAGCAGGTCGAGGTTGTGGTGGCTGGGAGCGACCACTACACTCCAGTCTGGGTGACAGAGTGAGACTCCAACTCAAAAAAAAAAAAAAAAGAATAAGAATTGTTTTGATCCTTCATGTGACCCAGCAATCTTCCTTCTAGAATATACCTGGAGGAACTTAAATCACTCTACAAAAATGATACCTGCACATGCATGTTTATTAGAGCACTATTCACAATAGCAAAAACATGGAACTAACTGTGCTGCCCATTGAAATTGGACTGGATTTTTTAAAAAGTGGTACATATACACGATGGACTATTAAGCAGCCATAAAGAACAACAAAATTATGGACTTTGCAGCAACTTGGATGGATTTAGAGTCTAATACTCAGTGATCTAACGCAGAAACAAAGAACTGAGTACCATGTTCTCACTCATAAGCGAACTCTGAACATTTTCCATTTACCGTAATACCAGAAGAAAGGGATCAGCAGTAGCAGGACACTGGAGGGGGGGGCACAACATCAATAAGCATACCTGATCTCAAATCAGGCAAAATGAGGACCAAAGGGAGACCCAAACTTTACCTGCGTGACGACCACTTGTATGCCTAATTCTGAATTGAACCCCACATCTTTAAAATAAAAAAAAATTTTTTCAATAATTGTCAGGGTCAGGCTCGGTGGCTCAGCCTGCAATCCCAGCACTTTGGGAGGCCGAGGTGACTGGATGGCCTGAGCCCGTGGGTTCGAGACCAGCCCAGGCAACTTGGTGAGACCTTGTCTCTACAATAAATCAAAAAGTAGAGTGGGGTGGGAGCGTGCGTCTGAAGTTCCAGGTCTTCGGAAGGCTGAGGCAGGAGGATCGCTGGAGCCCAGAAGGTCGACGCTGGGGTGGCTGTGAGCGTCCATGCCACTGCACTCCAGCCTGGGCGATGGAGACTCCAACTCAAAAATATTAATAATAATAATAATTGTTTAAATAATGTGTTGCTGGATGTGGTGGCTCAAGCCTGTAAGCCCAGCACTTTAGGAGGCCAAGGCGAGAGGATCGCCTGAGTCCAGGGGTTCAAGATCAGCCTGGGCAACTTGGTGAGACCTCATCTCTACAATAAATTACAAAAAAATTATCCGGGCGTGGTAGCACGTGCCTGTAGTTCCGGCTACTTGGAAGGCTGAGGCGGAAGGATTGCTGGAGCCCAGGAGCCCAGCAGGTTGACGCTGGGGTGGCCATGAGCGTGCCACCGCACTCCAGCCTGGGCGAAGGAGTGAGATTCCAACTCAAAAATAAAAATAATGTGCTTACTCTGTACCAGGCACTGACACTCGCCTCCCCAGCCTCCAGTCCCCCTGCCCCTGTTGCCTACAGCTTGTTTCCATTTGAGAATCCACAAGGTTCTAGGGAACCTTGGTAACTGGGGTGGGGCATGTGGTCCGTCAGTGTACTCCAACTCCCCCAACGCCCTGCGGTTATGAGTCAGGATGGACATTTGCATAAACTGGTCTAAAACAGAGGGGATCTCAAAATGTTGTTAGAAGTTCTAGGACAAGCCGGGCTCAGTTGCTCAGCCTGTAATCCCGCGCCTTTGGGAGGCTGAGGTGAGTGGATTGCCTGAGCCCACAGGTTCAAGACCAGCCTGGGCAACTTGGCAAGACCTCATCTCTACAATAAATTTTTAAAAAAAATTAGCCAGGCGTGGTGGTGTGTTCCTGTAGTTCCAACTACTTGGAAGGCTGAGGCGGAAGGATCACCGGAGCCTAGCAGATCGAGGCTACAGTGGCCGTGAGTGTGCCACTGCACTCCAGTCTGGGCAACAGAGTGAGACTCTGACTCAAAACAAAACAAAACAAGAAATATGTATGGGAAGGGGGAAATAATATGTAAAATTAAAATTCTACCCTGTGGGCCAGGCACAGTGACTCAACCTATAATCCCAGTACTTTGAGAGACCAAAGCGAGAGGATTGCCTGAGCCCAGGGGTTCGAGATCAGCCTGAGCAACTTGTTGAGACCTCGTCTCTACAGTAAACAAACAAATAAAAAAATTAGCCGGGAAGTGGTGGCATGCGCCTGTAGTTCCAGCTACTTGGAAGGCTGAGGCGGAAGGATCACCTGAGCCCAGCAGGCTGAGGCTGCAGTGGCTGGGAGCATGACACAGCAAAGCTCCAACTCAAAAATAACACACACAAAAACAAAAATTAAGTTCTACACCGTGATATTGTGAAATATATATTTGGTCTTCAACCCCCCATCCTAACGTCCCCCCAACCAACCACACACTCCCACCCATTTCTTGGCATATTAGACTCTCAAAGTGATGCCTTTTTGTATGTTAATGGCTGATGACTGGTATCCCCTAGATAGCTTCAGTTTGGGCTCCGGTCACCAGAAAGACCAAGGTATAATCAGAGGGTTGGGACTTTCAGCCCACCCACCCCCCGACCTCCAGGAGGGGAGAGGGGCTGAAGGCTGAGTTGATCACCAATGCCAGTGGTTTTCTCAATCATGCCTACGTATCGCAGCCTCCGTAAAAACCCAGAAGGACTGGGTTCCAGGTGCTTCCAGATAGCTGAACACGTGGAGGTTCACGAAGGGCAGTGGAGAGGGCATGGAAGCTCCGAGTGCCCTCACGTGCCTTGTGTCAAGCATCTCGTCATCTGTATCTCTTACAATGTCCTTTATTTATTTATTTATTTATTTTTGAGTAGAAGTCTCACTCTGTCGCCCAGACTGGAGCCGGCCACCACAGCCTTGACCTGCTGGGCTCCGGCAATCCTTCCGCCTCAGCCTTCCAAGTAGCCGGAATTACAGGCGCGCACTACCACGCCCAGCTGATTTTTTGATTTATTGTAGAGATCAGGTCTCACCAAGTTGCCCAGGCGGGTCTTGAACCCACAGACTCAGGCAATCCACTCAACTCGGCCTCCCAAGGCGGGGATTACAGGCTGAGTCACCGAGCCCGGCCACTATGTTCTTTATAATAAGCTTGCAAACATAAATGTCTCCTCTCCCTGAGCTCTGTGAGCCACTCTAGCAAACTAATGGAACCCAAAGAGGCGGGTTGTGGGAAGCCCAACTTGAAGCTGGCCTGTCAAAAGTTGCTGAGGCCAAGACTTACGGCTGGTGTCTGAAGGGGGCGGTCTTGTGGGACTGAGCCCTTCCTTGTGGGATCTGATGCTATCTGCTGAGGAACTGCGTGTGTGGTGTTGGGAAATCCCACACACTTGTGCTCACAGAAGTCTTCTGTGCTGATGGTTTGTTGTGGTGTGAGAGCAGAGGAAAAACTCTGAGTCTTCTTTCCTCTCGGCTATACCCATCACTTATCAACACAAAAAAAGGTCTTGAGCCTTGATTAGACTTTCAGCACATAGGTCGAACCTGGGTCCCTGATATGAAATTCATACACACCTGGGTTACAGCAACCACATGTTAATTTGCTATTAGCTACGTATTCAGTTATCTTTAGCAAGAGAAGTTCAAACACGTTTGTAAACACATTTGTGTTTTACATCTTTTTCAATATGTTTTAAGTGATTTAGTTTTTATTTATTTATTTATTTATTTATTTATTTATTTATTTATTTATTGACTCAGAGTCTCACTCTGTCGCCCAGACTGGAGTGCAGTGGCCGCTCCCGGCCACCGCAGCCTCGACCTGCTGGGCTCCGGCAATTCTTCCTCCTCAGCCTTCCGAGTCACCGGAATTACAGGCGCGTGCTACCACGCCTGGCTGATTTTTTGATTTATTGTAGAGATGAGGTCTCGCTGCCTAGGCGGGTCACACGGAACTTTTTAAACATATAAAACTAGACAGGCGCAGTGGCTCACGCCTATAATCCTAGCAGTTAGGGGGGCCAAGGCGAGAGGATTGCCTGAGTCCAGGGGTTCATGACGAGCCTGGGTGACTTGGTGAGACCTCTAGTTCCAGTTACTTGGAAGGCTGAGTGGAAGGATCGCCTGAGCCCAGAAGGTCGAGGCTGTGGTAGCCGTGAGCATGCCACTGCACTCCAGCCTGGGCAACAGAGTGAGACTCCAACTCAAAAAAAAAAAAATAATATACATATATATATATATATAAAACTAAGTTCTATAATATATAAGTTCTATAATAAAACTATTTAGATAGTTTCTGTGACTAGGAACATTTCCTATAAAAATCCTATCATGAATATAACCATTTTGTATATTTTGATGTTATATAAGAGAAAACCCTTATCTCCTAAATATCTGCTTAAGAAATTTTAAACACCTGAACATAAAGAGGCATAAAATTAGTGGCCACTTGCTCCTCGGTTGCTCACCAGGTATCTCAAACGTGTGAGTATACAGGGACTGACCCCCATCCACATCCACCAACTGTCCGGTGATAAAAGAAGCTGCAGGAGACAGCAGGAAGCATACCAGGGGGGAGATCTGGAAACAGAAACACGTGTGCTTACACAAAGGGAAACACTCCCCATTTCTAGCTGCTTCACATCCCCTAGTAAACACATCTCAGAGCACATGACTCTAACATGAATTCTATGGTGTGTGCCCCCCGCCATCAGACAGCACAACTTCCTGTTTCCATATGAGCGTCATCGAAATCAGGTAAGTGGCTAGGGTAAAGGTGGCAAGAGATGAGGGAGCTTTAGACGGTGTCAGTCAAGCCACACCATGTGAAGAAGCCAAGAGTGAATGAACTCCGTGCCTCGACTCTGCTGCTTCCCATTTCAAACAATTCAGTCTCTTCCACACCTTTCAGTGCTCACCACAACCCCATTTTCTTTTTTCTTTCTTTTTATTTGAGTTGGAGTCTCACTCCGTCACCCAGGCTGGAGTACAGTGGCATGTTCACGGCTACTGCAGCCTCGACCTCCTGGGCTCAGGTGATCCTTCACCTCAGCCCTCCAAGTAGCTGGAACCACAGGCACGCACCACCACGCCTCATTAATTTTGTTTGTTTTTGAGTTGGAGTCTCACTCTGTCGCCCAGACTGGGGTGCAGTGGCCGCTCCCGGCCACCACAGCCTCGACCTGCTGGGCTCTGGTGATCCTTCCGCCTCAGCCTTCCAAGTAGCTGAGGCCAAACATTTTCTTTAATAGCCAGGTGTGGTGGTGCATGTCTATAATCCCAGCTACTCAGGAGGTTGAGGTGAGAGGATTGCTTGAACCCAAGAGTTCGAGGTTGAGTGAGCTGTGATTGTGATACAGCACTCCAGCCTGGGTGACCGAGCAGGACCCTGCTTCTTAAAAAATAAAAAAAGGTTCTACCCCAGATCTTTTCTTTTCTTTTCTTTTTGAGTTGGAGTCTCACTCTGTTGCCCAGACTGGAGTGCAGTGGCCGCTCCCGGCCACCGCAGCCTCGACCTGCTGGGCTCCAGCGATCCTTCCGCCTCTGCTTTTCAAGTAGCTGGAACTACAGGAGCGCACTACCACGCCCAGCTAATTTTTGATTTATTGCAGAGATGAGGTCTCACCAAGTGGCCCAGGTGGGTCTCGAACCCGCGGGCTCAGGCAATCCACTCACCTCGGCCTCCCAAAGTGCTGGGATTACAGGCTGAGCCACCGAGCCCAGCCTAACAACCCCATTTTCTGTCACTACCAACTGACTTTTGTATTTTGGCCCCTGGAAGTCAACACGCCTGTTTAGCAATAAACTGGCATTCTGGTTTGTTCAGTCCATGGTCCTGAGCAGCCAAAAGCCCAGCAACACACATTACAGGAGTTCTCTACAAGAGGAACTTCAGAATCCCACTATATGCCCTAACAATTCAGATAGTGAATTGATGAGTTCAGCAACATCTCCCAAGACCCAAGAGAAAAAAAGAAGTGATTTCACTGAAATGCAAAGGAACTCTCATCTGGGGCTGTGGGCAGAAGCTGAGTTTCTCAAAGGGTGATCATCTTAAACACCTGCCTTAGAATCCCTAGGGACATTTACCAAAACTTCAGATTTCTAGATCATTCTTGGATCATAGGAATTGTAAACTCTGGGGCTAAAGCCCCAGAATGTGCAATTTTCTTATTCTTTTTTTTTTCTTTTTTGAGTTGGAGTCACTCTATCACTCAGGTTGGGGTGCAGTGATAACGCTCACGGACACTGTAGCCTCAACCTGCCGGGTTCGGGCAATCCTTCCGCCCAACCTTCCAAGTAGCTGTAGCTACAGGCGTGTGCCACCATGCTGGGATAAGTGTTTGATTTATTGTAGAGACAAGGTCCCGCCAAGTTGCCCAGGCTAGTCTCAAATCCCTGGGCTCAGGCAATCCTCTCGCTTCGGCCTCCCAAAGTGCTGGGATTACAGGTTGAGCCACCGCGCCTGGCTGAATGTACTGTTTTCAAAAGCTTCCAAGCAGGACTAGGGTGAAGCAAATGAGGGGCCCAGGATGCAAGATTTCAGGAGGTCTTCACTCTCAGGTTTGCACAAGGGCAGAGAGTGACTGCGTCCTTAAATTCTGTGCCCACACCTTGCTTGCCTCATCCCAGTTCCGGTCCTATATTTCCACAGCTATGCCTCTGAGACTCTGAGAACCTGGAGTTCTGCCACAGCCTTCCCTCCGTCCTTGTTTCCCCAGCAGCCAGTAGAGAATGCAGTGTCTAAAACGAGCCCACAGCCAGGCGTGAGGCTCAAGCCTATAATCCCAGCACTTTGGGATTCTGAGGCGAGAGGATTGCCTGAGCCCACGGGTTCGAGACCAGCCTGGGCAACTTGGTGAGACCTCATCTCTCCAATATATCAAAAAATTAGCCGGGCATGGTGGTGCGCGCCTGTGGTTCCAGCTACTTGGAAGGCTGAGGTAGAAGGATTACCTGAACCCAGCAGATCGAGGCTGCAGTGGCCATGAGCTTGCCACTGCACTCCAGCCTGGGTGACAGAGTGAGACCCCAACTCAAAATACTACTACTACTACTACTACTAATAATAATAATACAAGGCCACTAGCCATAGGAGCTTACAAAAACACTTTCAGTATGGCTGGTCCAAATTGAGATGTGCTGCACACTTTGCAGACTTAATATGGAAAAAAATGTAAAATATCTCATTTTATGTTTATGTTGATTACATCTTGAAATGATGTTTTGGATATACTGGGTTAAGTCAAATATGTTATTAAAACAATTTAATATATAATTTTAATTAATATAAATATGTTATTAAAATTAATTTCACCTCTTTTTACTTTTCTTAATGTGGTTCCTAAAATGTTTAAAATTACAAATGTGACAATTGTTATATTTCTATTGGACAGAGCTGGCATAGACCTAATAATTTTAAAGTTCCCACATTGCTGGAAAAGGCAGATCGTATGAAGCCATGTTAATAAGCAACTATCTGGGCCGGTTTTAACCCTGTTTAATCAATCAATGATAACTCACTCTATGAACATGTTTTGTTAGTCAGTCAGTTATAAAGAGACTTGTTCCAACAAGCTCCTTTCTGAAATGCCAAACAACAACCATCTCACCCAAGTAGCCATAATCTGACAGTCTGCAAACCCCAGTAAAACACACTCTCTCTCCACCCCCAGAAAACAGAAAAGATCAGTACTCAGCTCTAATCAGAGTCTGCCTGACCAGAATAGCTCCTCCTTATGTAAATATGCAATCAATCCAGCTTTATGCTGAATTTTGTTTCAAATACTCAGTGCCAGCCCAATCCTTTCAGAGTGTTTAGCATAAAATAAGTACTTAACAGGCCAAGGTGGAAGGATTGCTTGAGGCCAGTCTGGGCAATACAGCGATAGCTCCGCCACTGCACTACAGCCTAGGCAACAGAGTGAAACCCTGTCTCTAAAAAAGAAAAAACGTAAGCACTTAATAAATGTTTACAGAATGAAGGAATTCTGTGCAGCCCTTTCTCCAAAATGAGATTTTGCATCTCTTGGTTCCTAATAGGGTGTTTTGCTCACAGGCTCTCATTAAATGATACTGAATTAATTCAACTCTGCTAAGGAGAGAGAGGGTTACTTTTCTGTCCATACTGTCACAATCCCTAGAGGAAAGCATGGCAAGTATTCCAGTGCTCCTGCACGTAAGGGGCGCTTCCCTTTCTCTCCTCTGCACTCCCAGTAAGTAACTTCAAAGAACACTTAACTGTCCTGTAGACTGGGCCCAATCAACTGAGAAATGCAAATCCCCATTTACTCCCTTTTCTGAATAGTCACAGGTGTGTATAACTTGTATCAATGTAATCATGTCTTGTGATTTGTATAACATTTGCATATAACAACATGTATGATGTCTTAGGCCCGTTAACACCCTTTACTCTAGGGCAAGTTTGATTAATGCTTCTGTCAGGTGTTACTGAAACAAAGCTGTGAGAGGCTGGGCTCGGTGGCTCAGTCTGTAATCCCAGCACTTTAGGAGGCCGAGGTGAGTGGATTGCCTGAGCCCACGGGTTCGAGACCAGCCCAGGCAACTTAGCAAGACCTCATCTCTACAATAAAGCAAAAAATTAGCCTGGTGTGGTAGCGTACACCTGTAGTTCCAGCTATTTGGAAGGCTGAGGCAGAAGGATCGCCAGAGCCAAGCAGGTCAACGCTGGGCCGACTGTCAGTGTGCCACTGCACTCCAGCCTGGGCAATGGAAGTGAGACTTCAACTCAAAACAAAAAACAAAACCAAAAAAAGCTGTGAGATACCTCTGGTAATTGGCGCCAGGAAATGTGGACCATAAAATGTCATTATTGACAAAATGTGGCTGTAACTTAGGTTCTATACAATGCTCTGCTAGTCACATAGTCAATGTATTGGTACCAACTATCCTGAACTTACAAAATTAGACTGTAAAACTTAAAGGGAGAGCAGAACCATTTTAAAGAGGCCAAAGCTCACTCCGCTTCCTGGATTTGAATTCAAAAGTAAAACTCCACCAGTTCTCTGCCCCTCTGATTTGTTGGTATCAAGGGAGAGCAGCTGAGTGTTACTGGGACCATAACGACTCTATCTGCTAGGTAAAACACGTATAAACAAAAGCCAGCTAGCCGGGCACAGTGGCTCATACCTGTAATCCCAGCACTTTGGGAGGCAGAGGCGAGAGAACCGCCTGGGCCCAGCAGGGGCTCAAGAACAGTCTGGGCAACTTGGCAAGACCTCATCTCTACAATAATTCCCAAAATCAGCCGGGTATGGTGGCACACACATGTAGTTCTAGCTACTTGGAAGGCTGAGGCTGAAGGATCATCTGAGCCCAGTAGGTTGAGGCTACGGTGGCTGTGAGCATGCCAATACACTGCAGCCTGGGTGACAGAGTAAGACTCCCACTCAAAAAAAAAAATGTAACTCATAAGTAGGTGGCCAACAGACTGGTGTGAAGGTTCTGTCCATCTACAGATTCTAGGACAGAATCAGGCAGAAGCCAAAACTCTCCTGACTCTGCATCTCACATAGATACCATTCTCCCTCCTCTTCACAACCAAACTTTTTGAAGGAATGACCTACATCAGTCAAAGTCAAGGTGTTGTCAGCCAGATTCTGGGAACTGCTAAGACCTTTTCAGGGTATTTATACGGTCAAACTATTTTTATGATAACACTAAGTCCTTATTTGTCTTTTCTACTTATGTTGACATTTGTGTCCTGGTGATGCCAAAGCATAAAGGGAAAAAATTCTAGTGCCTTAGCATAAGTCACATCAGAAACTCAAAACTATTCTAGTGTCACACACCAGTAGTCATGACATTCGTCACTGGTGAGTACTCATGAAGGAGGAGAAAAGCCAGTTCCACTCTAGAATGTCCTTGATGAAGCAGTGAAAAAATCAGTTGTATTAAATCACAATCGCTGAGTTCACATCTTTTTAATATTCTGTGTGATGAAACGGGAAATAGAAAGCCGGGCTCAGTGGCTCAGCCTGTAATCCTTCGCCTTTGGGAGGCTGAGGTGAATGGATTGCCTGAGCCCGCGGGTTCGAGACCCACCTGGGCAATGAGACCTCATCTCTACAATAAATCAAAAAACCAGCCATGCGTGCCTATAATTCCAGCTACTTGGAAGGCTAAGGCAGAAGGATCACCAGAGTCTAGCAGGTCGAGGCTGCGGTGGCCGGAAGCAGCCACTGCACTCCAGTCTGGGCGACAGAGTGAGACTCCAACTCAAAAAAAAAAAGAAAAGAAATGGGAAATAGAAACGCAGAGCTCTTGCGATGCATAGAGAAGTATAATGGTTGCCTCAAGAAACGTGTAATTGACTTGAGAACCAAACTAGCCACTTTTTTTTTTTACGAAAAATTATTTTTTACTTAAAAGGATAGCTGACAAACTAGTTTATCACTACTTGTGTACTTGGCAGATTTTTTCAAAAATGAACTGAGACTGTCATTTCATTTTTCCTCCTTCCTTCCTTTCTCCCCTCCACCTCTCGCCTTCCCTCCCTTCCTCTGTCTCTTTTTTCTTTTCATCTCTCTCTCTCTCTTTCTTTTTTGAAACAGGGACTCACTCCGTCACCCAGGCTAGAATGCCGGAGCACAACCTAGCTCATGGTAGCCTCAACAACCTGGGCTCGAGGGATCCTTCTGCCTCGGCCTCCTGAGTACCTGGGACTATAGGCACACACCACCACATCCAACTATTTTTTTTTTTTTTTGAGTTGGAGTCTCACTCTGTCACCCAGACTAGGAGTGCAGTGGCCGCTCCCGGCCACCGCAGCCTCGACCTGTTGGGCTCCGGCGATCCTTCCGCCTCAGCCTTCCAAGTAGCTGGAACTACAGGCGCGCGCTACCACACCCGGCTAATTTTTTGATTTATTGTAGAGATGAGGTCTTGCCAAGTTGGCCAGGCAGGTCTCGAACCCGCAAGCTCAGGCAATCCACTCACCTCAGCCTCCCAAAGTGCTGGAATTACAGGCTGAGCCACCGAGCCCAGCTCCAACTATTTTTTAATTTTTTAGAGACAGGTCTCACTATGTGGCTCAGGCTGCTCTTTAACTCCTGGGCTCAAGTGATTCTCCTGCCTCGACCTCCCAAAGTGCTGGGATGACAAGAGTCAGCCACTGTGCCCAGCCAAGACTGCCATTTCAAAGGAAAGCAACTGACAATATTTGTTGTCAATGACAAAATTTGAGCTTTCAAGTGAAAATCAGGATTTTGGAAAACTTGTACCTGTCACCTTGAGCTTGACAGCGTTCTAACACTTAAAGATTTTTCTGAGGAGATCAGTGGAGAAAGTAACAATGTGATCTTTTGAAATTGCATAATGAATTATGTGTCAACATTGAGAAGATCTGCTTAACTCAGTGAATCAATAATTGCTAAAAAGACCAGTGTCTGATGTTACAAAATTATATATGGGTGAAAGATCTAGTTTAAGTGGGTGAAAGATTTTTTTTGTTTTTCAAGTCAGAGTCCCACTTTGTTGCCCAGGCTGGAGTGCAGTGGCAAGCTCACGGCCACCCCAGCCTCGACCCGCTGGGCTCCGGCGATCCTTCCACCTCAGTCTTCCAAGTAGTCAGAACTACAGGTGCATGGTACCAGGTCCGGCTAATTTTTGATTTATTGTAGAGACAAGGTCTCGCCAAGTGGCCTGGGCAGATCTCGAACCCCGCGGGCTCAGGCAATCCACTTGCCTCGGCCTCCCAAAATGCTGGGATTACAGGCTTGAGCCACCACACACAACCTTATTAAAATATTATTAGCCGGGCTCGGTGGCTCAGCCTGTAATCCTGCGCCTTTGGGAGGCTGAGGTGAGTGGATTGCCTGAGCCCGCGGGTTTGAGACCCGCCTGGGCAGCGAGACCTCATCTCTACAATAAATCAAAAAATTAGCCAGGCGTGGTAGTGCGCGCCTGTAGTCCCAGCTACTTGGAAGGCTGAGGCGGAAGGATCGCCGGAGCCCAGCAGGTTGAGGCTGCGGTGGCTGGGAACGGCCACTGCACTCCAGTCTGGGCGACAGAGTGAGACTCCAACTCAAAAAAAAAGAAAAAAAAATATTATTAATATTCTATTTAAATTTCTAATACAGTAAATATAGGTAATATAATCCACATAAACAAAGTGTTCTATCCAAAATAAAAAGTTAATCATATCATTCCCTTGATTAAAATGTATTAAAAATTACTTTTAGCTTTCAGAATAAAAATCCAAATATCTTGGTTAACAAGGTTCATCAAATATTTGATTTAACAATATTTTACAATTTAACATACAAGTCTATTTTCATATTAGGAATTCCATTTCTAGAAACTCATCCCCTCACACAAGAATGCATGACTCTGTTCATGAACGTTCACTGCAGAATTACTGCAATAACAAAAATGTAAATATAATTTAAATGTACAACAACGGAGTTTGATTTTATTACGATATATCCAAAAAACAACATATAGCAGGATCTGGTTTTCGTAAAAAGTCAATAAATATATGTATGCACAGTACATTGCTGGAAAGACATATATCATACTGATAATAAAAGCTAGTTCTAGGAATTAGAACTCATTTAAAGAGTTTTATGGTATTGCTATTATTTTGCCCTTTAATGTATCTTAAAATGATTTCAGATCCAAGATAGAGGACCTAATTTATTTCTAAATGAACAGCCAATTGCCCCCAACTCTTTGCTGGATGGTCTCTCCTTTCCTTACAAATTTGAAATGCAACTCTTATTCCATGAATGCCTATATATGATTCTGATTCAAGATTCTGTTCTGTTCTACTAATTTTAATATTTTCTAGTACCAGCACCAGATGCTGTAAATAAATATAGCTCCATAGTATCTTCTGACACCATGAAGGGCAGTCCTCACCATTATTCAATTTCAAAACATTTTTGGCAATTTTTGCATAAATTTTTTAAATGAAAAAATCAGTGTGTTAAATTCCAAAAATATATTAAATGTATAGATTAACTTAAGGAAATCTGGATTTTTTGTAAAATTGATTCTCCCTATTGAGGAATATAACATGTTCCTATCTTTTTGCTGGTCTTTTCACTCTTCTTCAGTAAAGAAAGTTTTTGTTTTTGTTTTGTTTCCTCATTTATGAAACATATATTGTCACTGTGCTAAGGAATCAGGTGATGTTTTTTTTTTTCCCATGTAGAGCTAAGTTTATTGTTGGGTGTTTTGTGTTTTAGTTTAGTAGGAAAGATACATTTTTTTGAAAAAATTATATGTATGTATATTTTTGAAGTGAAGTCTCTGTCACCTAGGCTGGAGTGCAGCACACTCACAACCACCACAACCTTGACCTGCTGGGCTCAGACGATCCTTCCACCTCAGCCTTCCAAGTAGCTGGAACTACAGGCACGTGCCACTATGCCCAGTAGAAAAAATTTTATTTTAAGACTAATGTTGTTGGCATTTTGGAAAGCTATTGATTTTTACAGACTTCAGTCTCACTGGAACTCCTTCAGTCTCATTGGAACTCCTTGTTGAAATCTCATATGGTACTTCATATGGCCATAATCATCTGACTTGCTTACAGTGCTGAGTACCAACAAATGCCAGACCATAAAATAATATAGCTGAAAAGTACAATGAAACAAACAAAAAATAAATGCTGTTATTCATCTACACTGTATTCACACCTGATTAAAGACTGCCATCAATAGTCAAAGCACAGCCAGGATATACCTGGGAGTTGGAAAGAACAGGAGAAACGCTTTGGTGGCAGCAGGAGAAATAATCTCCATCAGTCAACCAGACCACATAAAAAGGGCACCACATGTTACAAATTTCCAAATATAAAACATGGTAATTTTAATCAATGCTGAAAAGATATATTACCTCCTCAGGAACACCAAGTCGTTTAGCTGGGATTTTTTCAAAATGTCTCTCAAATAAGTCTTGTCCGATATAACCATAGTTGTCCAAAGCAGTCTGGGAATAAATTACTCCCTATGTTTAAAAATAAACAGGAACAAGATGAAGTACAAAAATTGAATTTTAGCTGTAAAGATATCAAGGCAATATTTCTACCAACACCAAACATTAAGTGGCTCAAGTTAAAAAAAAAAAAAAAAAAGGTAATAGTGCTAATATTAATTTTTCTTTTTTCCTTTTTTTTTTTTTGAATTGGAGTCTCACTCCGTTGCCCAGACTGGAATGCAGTAGCATGCTCCCAGCCACTGCAGCATCAACCTGCTAGGCTCTGGTGATCCTTCCACCTCAGGATTCCAAGTAGCCGGAACTACAGGAACGCACTACCACACCTGGCTAATTTTGATTTATTGTAGAGACGAGGTCTCGCCAAGTTGCCTGGGCGGGTCTCGAACCCGTGGGCTCAGGCAATCCACTCCCCTCGGCCTCCCAAAGTGCTGGGATTACAGGTTGAGCCACCAAGCCTGGCCAATTTTTCTTAATGCTGTCGAAGGAGTACAGTTAAACACTATCCACAATTATCTGAATGCTCATTTTGTGATTTTCCCTCCCTTAATAATCAGCCAAGACTTGGATTTTTTTCATGAAAGACTTTTTTTCAGAAGAGCATAATTTTGTAAGTAATGAAAGAGGCCCTTACCTGGGAACAATGGCACGTGGGAATCTATCTTATCTTCCACTAGGCTTCTCTATGTTACCAAGGAAGACTGGGCGATGGTTGGGTGAAGACTTAGAAAATGCAACATTTCCTTGGGTGCTCACCTATCCGACACCAATAAACTAAAATTTTAATTGTATAAGAATTCTCTTATTTATCTTTCACTAGCTTCTCAAGGGCTTATAAGGTCAGAAACTTTACTCAAAAACTGTATACCACAGGATAAGGCTAGCTGTTAGAATTGTACCACAAAGGTACAGGTTACGGGGAGGAGGTGAGAAAAGAGGAGTAATGGAAATCAATGAGGAAATTTGGCCGTATTGATTATTCTATAATGATCTTGGGGAGTTGTATTGGTTTCCAGTTAGATATTTTGCAACTTCTGATTCAAAGAGGATGAAATTTCCTGGAAGTATTAAAATTTAGACATTATGCCTAAAAAGATCTCTAGAGGGCAAGCGTGAATGAGGATTGTGCCTGTAATAGCAGCATATCAGTAAAAGTTTTCAAGAAATGCACTTAAAAGGCCTGTATTCCAAGGTACCAACATTAGGAACAGAACTGTGTTTACTTTATCCTAAATATACTTGAGTATAACATGGTAAGGTAATATCAGCTGTGGAGGATTGAAGGAAAATGTGACGTTTCTGGCTCAGAGCACCCTTGTTAGCGATGAGATTTCTCTGATAACTTCAAGCGTAAAGTCAGTCAGGCTTAGTCCTCACTGAGCAGCACAAGAAACGATATCTATAGATGTAATATGGATGGATCCATAGATAATATCCAAAGATATGATAGAATTTCGGGTGGAGGGGTGATTTCTATCTTAGCAATGACTAGGAAACATTACAGAAGAAGTGGAATTTTCTATTCACAATAACAAAAACATGGAACCAACCAGGCTGCCTATCAAGGCTGGACTGAATTTGAAAAATGTGGCACATATACACAATGGAATATTATGCAGCCATAACGAAGGATAAGCATATGGACTTCGCAGCAACTTGGATGGATTTAGAGTCGATCATACTCAGAGATCGATCACAGGAACAAAGAACAGACTATCATATGTTCTCACTCATAAGCGGACCTCGAACAATTATAATACTATAAGAAAGGGATTGGCAGTAGTTGGAAACTGCCAGGGGAGAGGGGGTGGGATTGGCAGTTGAGGGAAACTGCCAAGGGAGGGAGGGAAACACCTCACCTCATCAACAAGGATACCTGCACAATGAACATTTGTATATCCAACCCTGAATTACACCCCACATCTTTAAAATAAAATAATAATAATAAAGCTAAATATATATGGGGAAAAAAATGACATTTGAGTTGAGTTATGCAAGATGAATGAGCCATTTCTTTTTTTTTTTCCTTTTTGAGTTGAGGGTCTCATTCTATCCCAACTGGAGTGCAGTGGCATTATTACAGCTTACTGCAGCCTTGAATTCCTAAGAGCAAGTGATTCACCTCCTCGGCCTCTGAGTAGCTGTGACTGCAGGCACACACCACCATGCCCAGCTAATTTTCCCCTTTTCTGTAGAGAGGAGAGCTCACTTTATTGCCCAGGATGGTCTTGAACTCCTGGCCTCAAGCAATCGTCCCATCTTGACCTCCCAAAGTGCTGGGATTATAGGCTTAAACCATCACACCGGTCTAGCTATTTGACTTAAGTCCCTGTATATAATACCAAAGACAGTTAAGCTATATCTTATTTCACAGGATGACAACTTTTCAAGTTGACAACACTGTGATTCTCCCCCTATCATTTACATTATGATTCAGAGAAATTTTCTCTTGACTTATAGTTGATCTTTAACTGAGAATTCTTTGCAAGAACTTTGTAAGTTTCTCACTTTCCTAATGAAAAATTAATCATATACCAAGACATAAAATAATCTGGAAAAATTCACTCCTTAAAGCAGTGATTCTCAATAGGAACCTTATGTAGGTTTCACTGTGCGCTTGAATTTTCTAGGCTGTTTTTAAAAATATAGATGCCTAGACCACATGGTTTGTGGTAAAGCTCATATACCACTACCATTTAAACATTTCACAGATCATTCTAGTACACAGTCAGGACTGAAAATCACTGACTTATTTAACCTTCTTGACAATCAAATTATCTGGTTGTAAATCAAATAATACTTCTGTAATGCCAGTTAGACTTTCTGATTTTATCTATATTTTAAAGTCAATCTTTTAGAGTATACTTGCATATCAACAAACACCTCTAGCAACACACCAAATAGAATCAGAAGAGCCCAATTTGTCAACAGATTTTAGCACAGAATGTTTACCTACAGGAGCAACACAATTGATCCTGACTCCACTGCAGGCCCATTCCAAAGCTAAGGATTTGGTGAGGTTGTAAACACCTTCTCTGGCAGCTCCAGTATGCCTTCAGAAGACAAAACACAAACATTATCATCTGCTTCTGTTGAAGATTTCTCTGGGTAACTAAGCTGACAGGTATGCCAATGGCCTGGCAGAACCCCCCCCCCCAAGAGCATTCTTGTTACGAGTCGGTCTTGTTGAGCTCTTTTTTTTTTTTTTTTTTGAGTTGAAATCTCACTCTGTTGCCCAGACTGGAATGCCGTGGCACACTCCCGGCCACCGCAGCCTCGACCAACTGGGCTCCGGCGATCCTTCCGCCTCAGCCTTCCGAGTAGCCGGAATTACAGGCACGTGCTACCACGCCCGGCTGATTTTTTGATTTATTGTAGAGATGAGGTCTCGCTGCCCAGGCGGGTCACGAACCCGCGAACTCAGGCAATCCACTCACCTCAGTCTCCCAAAGGCACAGGATTACAGGCTGAGCCACCGAGCCCGGCTGACATACCAAAATTTAAATAAATTTCAAAGTATTTCCAGATAGGTGGTTCAAAATCTTTGTCTGCATTTTTATGGAGTCTTGTGCAAGGAAATACTTTGGTTTAGAATTTGTTATTACAGCCGGGCGTGGTGGCTCACACCTGTAATCCCAGCACTTTGGGAGGCAGAGACGAGAAGATCACCTAAGTTCAGAGGTTCAAGACCAGTCTGAGCAACATGGCAATATCTCGTCTCTACAATAAATAAAAAAAATAGCCAGGAGGCTTGGTGGCGCATGCCTGTGATTCTAGCTAGTAGGAAGGCTGAGGTGAAAGGATCTTCTGAACAAACAAAATCTCATTACAAGAGCCTCAAAACCAAATATAGGATGACTTAATGTGGGAAAATTAACTTATAAAACGAATTAGGGAAATTTTTCTAATAAGGGCATTTAAAATCACTCAGTTAAAAACAGGTTATTTAGTAAAATTGGCTGGACTTTAACATTTATTTTAGTGCAGATCTGCTGGTGATTAATTTTAGATTTTGTATGTTTGAAAAAATCTTTATTTCATCTTTGGTTTTAAAATATATTCCAAAGAGTAAAGAATTCCAGGTAGGCATGTTTATTTCTGTCAGTTCTTTGAAGATGTTTCTCCACTAACTTCTCATTTGCGTTGCTTCTGCTGAGAAATCTGCTTCCGTACAGAATGTGCCTTTTTCTTCCAGCTGCTTTTAAGATTTTGTCTTCAGCACTACTTTTCAGCAATATGATTAAAATGTGTCTAGTGTACTTCTGTTTCTTGTCCTTGGGGCTGATTGAGCTTCTTGGATCTAAAGATTTATCATTTTTATCAAATTTGGAAATTTGGCCGGGCTTGGTGGCTCAGCCTGTAATCCCAGCACTTTGGGAGGCCGAGGCGAGTGGATTGCCTGAGCCTGCAGGTTTGAGACCAGTCCTGGCAACTTGGCGAGCCCTCGTCTCTAAAATAAAATTTAAAAATAGCCGAGTGTGGTAGCACACATCTTTAGTTCCGGTTACTTGGAAGGCTGAGACGGAAGGATCACCTGAATCCAGCAGGTCTAGGCTGGGGGGCCATGAACATGCCAGTGCACTCCAGCCTGGGTAACAGAGTGAGACTCTAACTCAAAAAGAAAAAAAAGATTTGGAAATTTTTCAGATTAGGAATAATCAACCTATATTTGGTTTTTGGGGGGGTTTTTTGTTTGTTTGTTTGTTTTTGAGATGGAGTCTCACTCTGTCGCCCAGACTGGAGTGCAGTGGCCGCTCCCGGTCACCGCAGCCTCGACCTGCTGGGCTCCGGCGATCCTTCCGCCTCAGCCTTCCGAGTAGCCGGAATTACAGGCACGTGCTACCACGCCCGGCTGATTTTTTGATTTATTGTAGAGATGAGGTCTCGCTGCCCAGGCGGGTCTCGAACCCGCGGGCTCAGGCAATCCACTTACCTCAGCCTCCCAAAGGCGCGGGATTACAGGCTGAGCCACCGAGCCCGGTTCCTATATTTGTTTAATATGTTTTGCAGTAGCTGATATCTAAAGGCATAGGAAAAAACCTTCCCTATTGCCTGTTATGAATGAAATCTCTTGCTTCCTAAAAAAGTGAAAGGAATCAGAACTTACAAAAGACACTAGAAAAAAAAATCAAAATATACATTTTTCTTATTTTTTTGTTCTAGTCGGTGTCTCACTCTGACACTCAGACTGGAGTACAGTGGCATGATCATGGCTTACCACAGCCTCAGTCTCCTAAACTCAGATGATCCTTCTGCCTCAGCCCCCCAAGTAGCTGGGAATACAGGTGCGAGTCACCATGCCTGGCTAATTTTTTGATTTATTGTAGAGCCGAGGTCTCACCAAGTTGCCCAGGCTGGTCTCGCCTCAGGCAATCCTCTTGCGTCCACCTCCCAAAGTGCTGGGATTACAGGCTTGAGCCACCACATCTGGTGATCTTTTCTTTTTAATATATCCTTTAATATAAATGTTTTGTTTCCCAAACATTAAGAGTAAAGTGATGCTGGATACGGTGGCTCAAGTCTGTAATCCCAGCACTTTGGGAGGCTGAGGTGAGAGGACTGCCTGAGCAACATGGCAAGACCTTGTCTCTACAGTAAATCAAAAAATCAGTCGGGCGTAGTGGCACACGCCTGTGGCTACAGCAGCTTGGAAGGCTGAGGTGGAAGGATCACCAGAGCCCAGCAGAGGCTGCAGTGGCCATGAGTGTGCCACTGCACTCCAGCCTGGGCGACAGAGTGAGGATCCAATGCAAAAAACAAAGAGTAAAATGATGCTCCAAACAAATGAGTTGTGAGAATCCTGTGGCCTTAAATGCCTTCTGGATGCACAGCCCCAGGGTCACAGGCCCTGGTGTAGAACCCACAGATGAAGTTCAAAGTCCTCTACATGATATTTAAGACGCCTTGTAGCCGGGTTCGGTGGCTCAGCCTGTAACCCCGCGCCTTTGGGAGGCTGAGGTGAGTGGACTGCCTGAGCCCGCGGGTTCGAGACCTGCCTGGGCACCTTGGCGAGACCTCATCTCTACAATAAATCAAAAAATTAGCCAGGCGTGGTAGCGTGTGCCTGTAGTTCCAGCTACTCAGAAGGCTGAGGCAGAAGGATCGCTGGAGCCCAGCAGGTCGAGGCTGCAATGGCCGGGAGCGGCCACTGCACTCCAGTCTGGGCGACAGAGTGAGGTTCCAACTCAAAAAAAAAAAAAAACCCTTTGTGAGTGACTCTCACTCCATCCCCAGATCTTAACTTCCATTTTGCCACCAGCACAAAGAATTATTTGTCGCTCCCCAAGTGCCACAGTCAAATCTCTATGACTTTGCATAGGATGTTTCAATGACTTGCCTCCCTTTCTCCTCCTCCTGTGTCTACCGACCTCTGAGTCAAAGTCAATCTTTGAGACGTATTGCCAGAATGTTGCTCTCCCTGGAGCTCCCTGTTTGTAGACTTGTGCAAAAAGCTTTATTGGAATACCCGGCCTACACCGTCTATCCCATCCAATTGTTTTCATACTTTGCTCCCTTACTAACTGTGGAACCCCTGAGTGTGTGGATGGTATTTGATTCACTTTCATACGTTTCCAGATGTACCTCGTCCCTGTACCTGTATTGGTCAAGGAAACGAGGGACAGTCAATATTTCCCATTTGTCTTTTTGTGTGTGTGAGTCAGAGTCTCACTCTGTTGCCCAGGCTGGAGTGCAGTGGCACGTTCATGGCCACTGCAGCCTCAACCTGCTGGGCTCACGCAATCCTTCTGCCTCAGTCTTCCGAGTAGCCGGAACTAAAGGTGCACACCACCACGCCTGGCTAATTTTTGGATTTATTGTAGAGACGAGGTCTTGCCAAGTTGCCCAGGCTGGCCTTGAATTCCTGAGCTCAGGCAATCCTGCCTCCGCCTTACAAAGTGCTAGGATTACAGGCATAAGCCACCGCACCTGGCTCCCATTTGTATTTCAAGAGAGCTAAAATTTAAAACAAAGACGTGTTCAACCTCTGACACTCACTCTCCTTTCCCATTGAAGAGAATATCCAAACTGATGTTTTTCAAACTGTATATTCCAACACAATGCTAGTAGTGAAATTAATTTAGCAAGTAATAACCAGCATGCACAAAAATAAAATATAATAGGCTATGATAAAATAGGAAATATCAGAGCGTACTCTACACGGTAAGATTGGATTTGCTTACTGAATTTTTTGTTGCTTTGGTTATAAACATCCACATCAACATACATGTGTGTTTACCAGGTCATGATGTAAAATTTCTTACTGTGAATCATGGTCAAAAGTTTGAAAGCCACTAGAAACAGAAACTACTACTAAGGAAACAAAAGCAAGACATATCTGACAATTCCTTTTCCATAACACAGATAAGTTGTGTTTTTTTCTAGCCAACTGAATATCATAAAAGCCATTGATTTCATGAAAAGAAAAATTTTTTTTTTTTGAGTTGGAGTCTCACCCTTTGTTGCCCAGGCCGGAGTGCAGTGGCACGCTCAGGGCCACTACAGCCTTGACCCTCTGGGCTCAGGTGATCCTTCCACCTCAGCTTTCCAAGGAGCTGGAACTACAGATGCACAC